ATAAGATGGATTCATATATGAATTATAATATTGATTCTTATTGATTTAATATATAAATGTGATTATCGAGTCATTTAACTAACTTTAATAATTTAAAAAAAATTATTGTGATCTTGTAACACGTGATCTCAAAACTAGTATAAAATAAACAAATATGATATGATTAAAATTTAGTACATTCCAATCTCTCTCTCTCTCTCTCTCTCTATATATATATATATATATATATATATATAAAAGGAGAAATCATTAATGTTTTAGGTGACCTCTTATAAAACCTAGAACTTCATTTTTTTCTCCTCTATTATCTTAATATCTACTACTATATTTTTTTTTTGTCAATTTATGTTTTTATGTTAAATATTTGTATTCAACTCCAAAACAATTCATCTCCTTCTATTTTACTTTTGATATATACTTCATAGTTTTTTTTTCCACTTCTCCCATAATTTTATGTATCTTTGTATCGTTTTTTAGATTGCATTATAGTTTTTATGCATTATATCATGAAGATTCGAAGAAGTCTTCAAATTCAGTATTTGATTTTTTGGTTGCAATATAATGTAATAATTATATATATATATATATATATATACATATATAGGAGGTTTACTTTGCAAACCACGTTATTTGTACAAATGGTACAAATCTCATTCAACAAATCATAATTTTTTATTTTGTTCATTTTTTTTTATAATTATGAGAGGTTGATTAATCATTTTTATTGTGGATGGTGTTAATCATGGATATTATCATCTTCATTATTTTAATTTTAGAGAGATACATAAAACAGTTTCATTAAAATTTCATTAAGTATTATATGAAACAATTTCATAACCATATATGAAACAACTTCATAAAAAAAGTATTATATGAAACAATTTCCCAAGATGAAAAAATTTCATGAATTTTTTTTTCATAAGATTACACAATGAAATCAACGGATGAGGGTGGTTTGCACGGTTTGTACAAATTAGGTGGTTTGCATTTGATCACTCATCTCTCTCTCTCTCTCTCTCTATATATATATATATATATATATGTTTCATGATTTTGATTGTATTATAATTTTGTTTATGCTTGTATCATGATTTTGTTTGCATTATAACTCTTATGTATTAGGTGAAGATTTGAAGTGTTCAAGTTCACTATGTAATTTTTACTTATGTTGAGGGTTTTTTGCTTTGCAGGTTCTCAAGTTCTTTAACTTTAATGTATTAAATTTTGAAGATTTGAAGTTTTCAAGTTTGGGTTGTGGGAGTTTTTGATTATGATCTAAGGTAAAGATTTTATGCGAGTTTGTTTTATAATTTAGAATGTATTAGAATGTTATTTATGTTTGTATCATGATTTCGATTGAATTATATTTTTAAGTATGTTCTTATCGTAGGTTTAATTGTATGATAATTTTATGTCTGTTCATGTTGTGATTTTGATTGCATTACAATTTTATCTATTGGGTTATAAAGATTTGAAGTGTTCAAGTTTGGTATATGATTTTTTACTTGTCGTATGGTTAGTCCATTCACTATTATAGTTACCAAATCATGGATCAAATATGAACAAAGTTTGGGGTTTTGGAGTTGGAAAAATTGCATCAAAATAGAACTACCTTTACCAATATTCCTATTTTAGGGAACCGACTTTCAAAACCTTCATGTTAGGGTACTCGTGCAATGCATCAAGAGACATCTTGATTTTAGTGATTTTATTCTTTTTTATGTCAATATAATACAGTTTTATGTGTTTTTGAAAAAACGATAATGTTTTTATTTTTG